TGTGCAAATTATACACACAAATAAACATATACACATATATATATATATACATATATAATATATATATATATATATATATATAAATATGTCAGGTGTGAATATAAAAATGCAGTAAAAAAAATATAGTAGAAAGATAAAAAATGAACTCGAGACTTGCAATTTGCACACCACGTGCAGGTTGGTTGTAAGCCAGACAGGCGAGACTTGTGCTAGACACAGACACAGACAGAGAGACAGACAGTGGGGCAGAGAGGCAGACAGACAGACAGGTGTACAATTTAAGTTAAATGGTCACTGGCATTTTTAGTGGCACTTGAAAGCCGTTAACAAAGCAATTACAGCAGCAACAGAGACAAGTTCAAGGCACAAGGTGCCACAGACACACAATAGTTAACTCGGAGCACAAATTGCCGCAAACAAATGCTAAAAAGAGCCCTTCATTTTATCTAATCCTGAGCTAGACAAAGTTAAGCTTCCCCTTGTTGCAAGGTGTTGAGGATCAGCCATCTTTGAAGCAGAGACAGACACAGACAATGCAACCACTGCAGAGTTGCCATCATAATTTGCAAAAACGCTGTCAGTTTATTCAATTGAAATGAGTTAAATTCGGTTAAGCAACCCATTCATTCAGTGCCATTTCAATTCACTGGCATATAAAAAAAAAACGCGAAAGCAGAGGCCAAATGAATTTATGCAAAATTTGCGCCTCAATTGCCACCTGAGAGAACATAATGAGGCATCAGCATCAGCTATGCCGAGTGTGCTTCAAGTACTCTTCTTCAAGTGGGCGGTTGAAGCGCAAAATGTAATTACAGAAAAACATAATAATAATAATAATAACAAACAAGACTATTCCAACGAATAAGACTCAACTGATAGATACTGCGTAAACAATCTTTGGCACGATGCCTAATTTTTTATTATTGTAACTTCATCAGATTCAATAAATTAGTACAATTTACTTAATATTAGAATAAATAAGAGATTTCCAGCGAATAAGGCTTAACTGGTAAATATCACGTAATCTAATTTTTGTTAAAGTCAACAAAAAATTAGTAATATTTAAACGTGATTAAATTTAATATGATAATGGAGGCTTTAGTTCATATTTAAGACGACTTCTCAGTCAGCAAAGTTACAAATCAACCCTGTGCAAACTACACCACTGGATATTTGCACAAAAATATACAATAATTTATGGACCAAATTTCGCATTGCGATTGTAAATTGTTTAAATGTGTTGTTTACTTTACTTTTTGTTTTTTTTTTTTATATCTTACGTTTTCTTTTCGGCGCAATTAATTTGCAGCTGATGACGTCGGAAATACGAAATACTTAGATATAGTATATACAAATTTCTAAACTCACATCTACTTATATAGTTGCTGTCCAAAAACAATATGAATATTGCAATGGAAAGTGAAGACTCACAAATGCTAAAAGAAAACGCATTAATAACTTAGATTGTCGCTAAATTGGTCGTTGAAAAGAAATCGTTTTTGAATATTAATTACTATGCAATAAGGCCAGCTTCGCATGCAATTAAACACATTTAAGCACATTTACCGATTGTGCAACACCAAAAAAAAAACAAAGCAACTTGAATTTGAGAAAAGCGAATAGGGAAATCGAATTGTCAGACAAACAACGTCAAACAAATCAAATTTTGATGGCTTGACCAATTCTGGAGAGGATTCGACGCGGACACAAGCGAACATTATGTATATTTTTTTGTGTATAATATGCAAAAAGGCTTGTTGGGCACGCACATCATTACAACAATTACTTATGCATATATCGACAGACTGACCAACTGAGCAATTGACTGAATGACTGACTGACCAGCACCGGAAGTGAGACAACGCAAAGCTTAGTTTTCGCATTCGCCCCCCATCATTTAACAACACGTTCGTGGAACTGGATAAGCGAATGGAGCGAGGAGAGGAACAACAAGAGCAACAACAACAACAACAACGACAGGAACTGTGCACGAGAATGGGAATGTCAGCTGGAACTGGAACTGGAAAAGCGGCTTTGGCAATGCGACCAGTCAGGCAGTCAGTCCCTAATGACTGCTCATTTTGTCATTATTCTGATTGTCGCCGCCTGTCGCTTTCATTGTAAAACTGACATTAAATATTTAAGTGTTTGTTTATTCATATGCATATAAGCATAGTTTGAATATCTCGTCATTTAAATGTGGAGCACACATCACTTTATATATGGGTCGGAAATCTGTAAAGTTTATTTTCGGAGGGAAGGGAATTGGGCAAAGTTCTACACAGAAAAGTTAATTATTGAGACCGACCCCCTTTATTATGTTATAATCAACATGATTTAAGCTAATCTCTTTTCTTTTAGTTTTGTTTGCTAAAATATAGGGAAGGTTGTAGCGCTTTCTACGGAATACCATTTATCAAACGACTTAATAACTAAATCTTCAAGACAATTATGCTAACTGGAAACCACAAGCTCATTTAAAAGTGTGCCAACTGTTTCTGCATCAGAGACTATATATATATTTATATTATAAGCACTCTTTGTTTTACCTGTTTAGCAATTGTTCCGATTGACCAACTGAATGATTTCTCATTTCATGACTCAAAATGCTTGTGACCTCATTGAACTCGAATCAGCTGCAAATTATAGATTTATTTATATGTACATATACATATATGGAAAATATCCGACTTGATGTACAACATGTGTAACCACAAAAACGAATTTCACAATCTATTTTCAAATTCAACACTCGATGCCATTGTCAAGTGCAGTGCTAGGGTTGGGTCTTAAGTTACACCCTATAAATATATAGAATGATGATACTATATGTATACATATATATATATTTATATGCATTTAATTACAATCTTAAACTGTTCGCTTGTATTACCCAATTAACCACATTTTGTGTTTGTTGGATAAATAGTTCATCTTCAGCTTCATTTCAATGGCTTTTTACAGCTCTTTTTTGGCACACACTTTGTGGGTTACCGTTATCTGTGCCCCTCTCCACCTCTGCTCCACATTCCACAAGTTGTTATATTGTATTAACGATTATTGTTGGAGGTGTGCGGATATTGTTGATATTTTTTATTGTCGTTGTTATCGCAAGCTTTCAATGAGCTTGCCTCACAGTTGTTTAGCTGAAGTTGTTGTTTATTGCGCACAAAAGGCGCATTTGTTGATTTAGTTTGCCTATTTTGGGCGACAATAGCCAGCTGACAATAGAATGATCTATGCTATGATAGATTCGCTAACTAATTGGAAAGTGGTTTCGAATGCGCTTCAAATGCTTTCATTTCTGGCCAGAAATGAAAATCGCAACCAATAAAAACAAACCAACCACAACATTGTACGATATTCTTAGAGGGTATTTTAATTTTGTGATAAACTATGCAACACATAGAAGAAAACTTATCTTCTTTGTAATGATTATATAAATGCCGACTAATATAAATCGAATTATGAAATTAAATCTAATATATAATTTTAAATAAAATATATGTTTACTTTCATTTTAGAAAGGGTGTTTGAATTGGGGCACACCAAATGAAAACTGTTCTTGCTTTTAATATTTTTTTATGTTTGCTCTTCGCAGTTTTCACTCTATTTATAGCAGCAAAAAGTGCAGAACGTGAAGTTTTTTCCTTTTTCTTTTCTTTTCTTATTTCTTTGGCTGCATTTGGCGCCAGGCCAAAGATTTGTGTGTCAGACAGGAGGCGTGGGGGAGAGGTTGGGGGAGTTGTTGGGGTTTGTAAACATCACGTATATAACCAGTTTACTGCCTTGGTTACCAATCCACCCAAGTAACTCCTTCTGCTAAAAACCGCAAATGCAAACACTAAAAAATTGCAATGAAAATAAAATATATGCGAAAAATGAATTGAGCGCATTTTCAGCCAGTTCCCAGGGGAGTGTGGGAAAATGGGGTAAAGTGGGCAAAGGCTTCAAAATGGTTACGAGGTCGTCTTTGTTGTTGTGCGTTGGTCACTTTTACCATTGGGTCGTACACACACACACACAAAGACAAAGAGCAAAAGCACAAAGGAAATGAGCTCATTTGGTTGACATTTTCCAGTTCATTTTGCGTTGATTAACGCGCTGGGCAGATATTTCTTTTCATTTCATTACGCATGGTTTGGCGTGGCCGAAAGCCAATTAATAATTCGCACCACGACACCAAAATCTAATTCGAGCTCGAATTCGAATACGAGCTTGGCAAGGGTCAACAACAGAAATAACATTATTTCTAGACGGGCAACCGGCGCTGACTAATCCATCCACGCATTCGAAGAACGAAGAGTGCAAAGAGTAACGGCAAGAACTGGGCGCAGATTGTTAGTTACTTACGTAGTTACTTACGTCACAAGCAAGAACCACTGCGGGCAGCAATATGAAGTAAGTCGATTAGGCGTCGATCAAGCAACCGCAAATGAGTCAGTAGTCAAACTACGTAATGCAGTCAATGTTTAGTTTACATATATGTAGAGAAGAAGCAGTTAAAAGTGCAGAGCTGATTAGCGAATTAATGTAAAATTTGAATAAAGTGCAGACGCACTTCCCAAAAACAAAGAAATAGGCGCAAATCTGATCCCAGTCAATAAACACAATTTGACAACACTGGCCACAAACACAAGCATAAGAGTGCGAGAGCAAAAAGAATATAAGTTTACCGAAAGACAGACAGACAGAGAGAGAGAGAGAGAGGAAGCGAGCGTGAGAGATCATATAACTGTTGACGCTGCTGGCAAAGGTTAAATGCTCAATTTGTTTATTCTGTGTCTGTCTGTTGGTCTGTCCCCCCTTCGCCGTTATATTTCGCACAATTTCATTTGATTATTGCGCACTCTCTCTTTCTCTCTCGATTCCACTTATCAGCTGAAGAGAAAGAGAATGGGAAAAGCGCAACTAAATATGACATTTATTTACAACTACTACTATACCAATAGCCCGTTAGCAGGTACTTTACCTGTGAAACGGGTTAATTCCGCACTCACCTTATAGATTTGTATCTCGGTTAGAACGACATCCGATTCCTTGAGGACTCGCTGCACTTCATCGAATAACTCGCGTTCCGTTTCCGTTGGTTGCGCATTCTCAAAGTCGAGGAACACATCGTAGGATTTGGCGGCGCAACAATTTGAATCGTCGCGTGACAAAAGACTCAGCAGTTTGCCCATTTTTGTAATTAATTTATTACGTATATATGTACGTGTATTATTAAATATACTCCTTCCTCCCCTTTTGATTTTATTTTTCTATCATATATTTTGATTGTCTCAAAAGCACTTATCACGCTGCAAGAGAGAAAGAAATGGGTGATATGAGCACTGAGCAGCTGTTAAAAAACTGCACCTGTTGTTGCTGCTGCTGCTACTCAGCGGTTAATAAATTTGAGGCCGCAACAGCTGCTAAAGATCACTTAGGGGACAAAATATAGTTTTTATCTATGTTTTTTCTTCTGCCCCTCCTTTGCCAGTGTGACAGAGAGAGAGAACACAAAAAAAAAACATTTTTAACACTGGCAATGCAGCAGCAGCAACGGCTGCAGCGGCCCAGCAATGCATTGCGGGGGGTTGAACAGGGACAGAGGCTGTTTGCCATGTGTCTCCTTTTGTGCATGTTACAATGCGTGTGTGTGCGTATGTATTTGTGTGTGTGTTTATTATTTGGAGTGCTGCTTTTGCGCAGGAAATGATGCGAAACTGAAACCTATCGAAAATTAGTAAACAACACACACGCATACTCATGCAAACGCCACAAGGCCAATTTTCACACGTCGAGTGGGGAAAAATAAAGCAATTTTCCTCGCCACGCAACCACATGTAAACATTTTAGGCAACCCCCCACCCATCGCTGAAAAGTAATTGCGAGAAAAGCAAAAAAATTGAGCGAGTTTCTTTTATTATTAATGTATTTATAAATGTATACGAGTGTGTGTTGCTTTGTTTTTATCTGCATCGCCTTATCTGGCTGACATTTCTTCTTCTTTTCCCATACCCTGAGGCAAAATGCAAACGGTGTAATTGCGAACCCAGAAGGACTAACAAACAAAACGTGTTGGTGAATTGTTCAATTAAACAAATGCAATACACACAAAATTAACTAAACATAATGTTGTTTTATTTTTAGCACGGCTTGTAATTTAGGAAATCACTAGGTATCTGTTAGTCGAGCACTTGCAGCTGCAGTTGTTTGCGCGCTTATCTGTTTTTTTTTCTTTCTTTTTTTATGAACACGATTTACAATTTTATTTGCCGCTGAGTGTGTTTTAGGGTGGATTTGTTGCTGTAAATTGTTCCTGCATTGGAATTTCAGCAAAACAAGAATTTCCTCATATGCAAAAACAACAACAAGAACAACAACAGCAATTGCGCGCTTATCACCTTTTTTCACAGCACTTTCGCGTGTATTTGTGTGTGTGTGTGTCGCAGTATTCACGTACCGTAGGAGCGCCCTTTTGCTAAATTCGTTTAATTGCGGCGATTATAACATCGCTGTCATTTACACAAGGTTTATGTTTAAATCATATAAAAAACAGCAAAAAACACGCCGCAACACACAACACGCACCCAACACTCATCCACTCTCGACGGTAGCTGAAAACGTACTAAATATGACAGTCAGCAAACAAACAGACCGTATGACTGAACTGATGTTTGCCATTCAAAATGGTATGCTGTTAACTCGATCTAGCAATGCTTCTTCTTTTTTATAATTGCATATAGTAAAACGAAACATACTCTATTTGATATATATTATATAATCTATCATTATAATAAATTACAATAATCTATTGATGCATTAACATTTTATTTGTATTCCATATCACACATAATGAACTACGTACCAATTTGTTATCGTTGAAGTGTTGGCAAGCACGCGCAAAACAAAAAAGTTAAGTCTGCTTCAAGGTGTGCACACACTGGCACTCACAACTCGTTTCCCATTTTTGCCTCGCTACAAAAAATAAAAAAATAACGAGATGAAAATGTCCCAACTGGACGACATACAGCAGCAGTTGATCCAAAGCATATCCAAGAATGACACCGCCGGCTTCAAGCAACTGCTCGGCCAGCTAAAAGGCGGCGGCGTTAACTTTGTGGATGACAGCGGCATGTCAATTTTGGCGCACGCCAGCTTCAAAGGCAACAAGGAAGCGGTTCAACTGCTCCTGGACATGGTAAGTTTGCATATAGAATAAGACATATGTGTGGATACTTGATGCCCTATCTTCCTTCCGCTGCAGGGCGCTGATATAAATCTGAATCAGCATGGCGCTGATTACACACCGCTCCACTTTGCCGCTCTCTCGGGAAATACGCTCGTCTGCCGGCAGCTGCTGGACGCGGGCATCAATCCGGCCAGCATCAATAAAGTCTCCCGCACTGCCGCCCAAATGGCCGCCTTTGTGGGCAATCATGCCTGCGTGGAGACCATCAACAACTATGTGACACGCTCCAGTTTGGAGTATTACACACAGCTGCATGGCCAGCAAACGGAGCCGCTGATTCCGCCTGTGCTCCTCAAGTCGTTTCACAGTTTTGTCACCGAAATCAATTTACATCCGGTACGCATAACACTGAATGCCCAGTCGCTTGGTCTGCTCAAAATACTGCCTAATCTGCGCAAGACGCTGGCGCTCATGTGCGAAAAGGAGATGCAAAAGACGCATGATATCAACGAGCTGCTGGCGTTCAAGTTCCACTATCTGGGTTGGATTGTGGGCGAACTGTTGCGCTGCGAGGAGCAGTTCAAAGCACAGCACAAGGAGAAGGAGCAGGCGCAGGAGAAGAAGGTGCAGGACAAGAGCGATTTCATTGAGCTCTTTGTAAAGCGTGTTCTCAAGGAGAACAAGCTGGGCCAGCTGGACTATGTGGAGTATACGGTGCGTGAGTGTGCGCGAGAGTTTCCTTTCCGCGAGTGTACGATCTTCAGGCAGATTGTGAGCCAGCTAAGTGCTAAGGATGCGCCGCCAGCGTTGGGCCTGCTACGGAATGCCATCAATGGCATGCGAGGATTTGTGGTGAGTCCTGGCTTATAAGATATCCTTGATATAAGAGTCTGTAATAAATCATCTCTGATTTGGCAGGATGAGAGCAGCTATTGCAGTTCCTGTGGCCAGGAGAAGCCGGATAAAAAGTGCTCCAAGTGCAAGGCGGTGCAGTATTGCGATCGGGAGTGCCAGCGACTTCATTGGTTCATGCACAAGAAGAGTTGTGCACGTTTATTGGCTGCCGTTCAGGCAGGCGCCAAGGATCAGCATAAAGCGCCCATTGACACAGCCGAGCTGCAACATGAGTTGTCCAAATTATCAGCATAAAACTGATGCAATACAAATGATTACCTGCATTTTAAATAAACCAATTGCGAGTTGTTTAAAAGCATTTAAGTCACTATTTGTATATATCGTATGACTAATTAATATGGGCAATGTAAGTTGATGTATAGACAGGTAGAAGAAGAGATCAGCTAGCCCATATCCCTGATTAACAAATGCTTCTTCAAGTCGTTCAACCCCGACACAATTCTTATTTGTCATGGAATGGACTGCTTGCGCACACTGGCGCCATCTAGCAATTTGCTTGTTCCTCCAGACTAACGACTCCGTCAACTGCTTAGTCACTGGCGCCATCTAACAATAACACCAAACTATCGACTACTTAGTCAATACGCGCACCTAAGCCATTGACTCCGCTAAAGTGCGATAACTCGTTTTACGGCTGCTCTTAAATTTAATTAAATATTTCAGTCGTTTCTCGTTATTTGGGTCGTAAAAGCAAAGATGCCAACACTTTAACGACCACATCGTATACATATATTATAATTAGTAATATATAAAAAAACAGAAATCCAAAAAAAAACATAATGCGACACACACATAAAATAAAATGAAACAACGACAACGGCAACACCTATACAAAAACAATAAAGCATCATTAAAATATACGTATTATCATTATCAACAGCTTTGCCCGCAAAACCGGATCGCGAAAGCCGATCCACCAATCTACCTACACGCATTTTAAATTCATTAAGTATATTAAAACAAGCACAAATTAGAAACGTGAGCGAATAGATTATTTACATGTTTATCGCATAATCTACGAATTTTGACGCTTTTTGCCACTGTTTTTAACAAGAAAACAACAATCTGAATATGCACATATTTATATATATATATGTCTATGAATTTATAAATCCAACCCAATCTAAGGCTCAGCGTTTAAAAAAACACTTCCAAAGCGCAAATGCCGACTCTTTTTTTATTTTTGTGCTAAGGTGAAAACATGCAAATCCCATAATTTAATTGTTTCAACATTTAAAAGGCAAATTTATGTGAAAACAAGGGGACAAAAAAATACATATATAAATAGTGGACTAAGCCCAAAATTAGTCAAAGCCGCTCCAAAACAATAATGTCGCAACTTCGTGTAGTCTGTGAATTATTTCGCGCTGTCTTCAAATTTATGCTAAAAGATTTCTATCAATGAAAATTAAACAATAAAATAAGCATTTTTAAATTGATATTTTTTTAAAAGCGATTGCGGCGGCTGTTTTTTGAACTAAGCCAGCAGCAATCCGGCGAGAATTTCTAGTTGCAAGCCCAAAAAAATTAAGAGTTGAAATTTAATTAAAGTTATTAAATACGAAACTGGCTTTGTGGCGCCACCGTTAAGGTAGCCCCAAACAAATGTGCATTTAGATGGATATATATATTTGTAGACCGCACGCATGGCAGCAACGAGGCAACGAGAATGTCGCCCGCTGCCTGCTGCGCCGCTTATCGTATCAATTATGCTGGCTAAAAAGGCAGCCGCCGTCGGCGCAGACAGATTTGTCGCATTTGAGGCGATAATAATGCACGAGAAATGGCCACACTACTCGTTGTGCCATGCTTTGCCCAGTCCTACTCCAATGGCTTGGCTATAAAAGGTGCGATAAAAACGAAAATTTCTCAAGCCAACAACGAGAGAGAGATAGATGCAACAGCAGTTGTTGCCGTTGCCGTTGCCTTTTCTGCGTCATTCGTCGGCAAAAGACCAAACGTCTCTAAAGCCGTCAAATCGCTGCTCATAATGGATGCCTTATCTGCGAGAATTGTTTTAACTACTACCGGAGTTGGTTTTCAACTCTTTCTCTCTCCCTCTCCCTCTCGATCTCTCTCACTCTAGAGTGGTGCTGATGGAGCACATTAGTTTGCTTAAGTTGTTTTGTCCAACTGGCAAAACCTGTAAAAACGGAAGCCTCGCACAGCACAGTTTGTGCTGTGGTACCCAGTACACGTTACGACCAACGGACTAGCCTTGCAAAATTATCGATAATTGCTCAACTTTCTATAGGCAACATAAACTTATAAGAAAAGAACAAATATGTATTTTTTTTGCTATATTTGTAATTCTTTGCTATATTTGTAAGCTGCGCTTAAAACTAATTAACAGATTACGACTTATATGCTAATATACTGCACATTGTGATCACAACCAAGCTTAAAAGGTGGCCAACAACAACCAAAATGTTGCATTTAATACGCCAAAATTGCAGAAATGCTGAAACTATTTCGTTTTGTGGAGGTTTTTGGGAGCGGAGAGCTTGTTGCTGTGCTGGATGAGGGTGAGGATGAGGTCGCAGATAAACCTGACACCGTTTGCGACGGAGAGGCAGCCACTGCTGTTGTTGGCACATAGGCAGGCAGCGTCGGTGGCACTGCGGCAAAGTAAGCGGCTTGCAACAGAGCTGCACCGGGAGCGTAGTTAAGCGCCGCAGGATAAGGATTGGAGGTGGCTGCAGTTGCTGCTTCAGCTCCTCCATAGTACCCCGGCGACAGGCTACGCTGCGAATCCTGCTCAAAGTCTGAGCGTGGACGCTTCGCTTGCGGGGAATCAAAGCTGCTGACGCTGGAGCCATCGTCCTCAGATTCAGCACTGGAATTGGAGCTGCTGTTCAGCTTGCGCTTGCAACGCGACTGTCCCGACTCACGGAAGCCCTTGGCAAACGGATTATTGTCAATCTTCAGCTTGGTAATGCGATCGTTCTGCAAGCAAAAATAAATAATAGAACCCAGTTAGTTGAATGCCTCTGTAATCGGAGCTGGCTGGCGCCAGTGAGTAATGGGAAAGCACTTGAGTATTGTCTCAATGTCGACAAGACACTGTCTCAAGTGCCAACAATTAGCTGGAGCGTTACCCACCTGATAGGCAGTCACGGCGACAAACTCCGTCTCCGGGAAGACAAACGCCTGCTGCGGCGCCCAGGGCAGCTGGGTGAGCTCACTGCTCCGAATGATGTGCAGACGTGGCTGATACTTGTGCATGCTGGCCAGCACAATCTGGATAGAGATAGCAGAAGAGATATCGTAAGTAACTGCAGGCAAGAGACAGACAAATATCACTTACATGTCCACTGTTGTCCAGTGTATTATTCGTCAGTTTGACCTTGTTGAAGAGCAGCGCCTGGGATTGCCAGTGGGCGCCCGTTGCGGGGCTATCTGGATGCAGATACATGCGTTGGGGACTCTGGGGCTCGGCGCCACCGGCTGGCACCCACTGCGAGCCGGAAAACTTGTAGCGACAGTCGCCAATGGGCACCATTTCCAGCAGGACACAATAGTTGGTGTCCTCCTCCAATCCGCTCAACGAGACACGCATCGAGGGAAACATGCGTCTGCAAAGGAGAGAGAGAAGCAAAAAAGAATAGATGTTGATTAAGTGAACAGCTTTACAATCCACAATAGGAATATGCTATGTGGCAGGCAGTTAAGCACAGACATAAATCAACAAGGTCTTCTCTCGTTTTCTAAGCGCAAAAAAGGCGTTGCCCGGTCATTTTGATTTGTGGCGTGGCCTAACAAGTGTGTAATTATGAACAGCGGGGGGCAAACGCCGCAAACGTTGCATCGATTTAAAACGTAACGAAAACAAAACACAAAAAAAAAGAACAGACTCAAAACAATGCATGTTCCACTCTCAGATTGATTAATTGCAGGGAGCGCACAGCGTATGGCGCCAAACAATTAGACAAGATCTCCGTAGACTCTGTTCGACTTAACGGCTACCAAATGTGGCGCTCGGCGCAGTCAATGCATGGCTAATGAGCCGAGAAAGTGGATACCGCTCAAGCTCATAATTATGTTAATTTTGCTGCTGCTCGGTAGTCGTTACAGCAGTCGCGGTCGCAGTCGCAGTCACATTCAGATAGCGATACAGATTCAGCTATCGGAATATTAGAATACTCCCAACCGACAACAACAAAGGGGCCCCTTTGTATAGAAAAGTGTGAAAAAGCAGGTAGAAAACAGCGGACATAGTCTGGGTCTGGGTCTGCGTCTGCCTCTGAGATCTGCGTCTGCCTCTGAGAGATCTGTGTGTGTCTTGCAGCATTGTCAAAGCCGAAGAAGATTTTTATGAGCGCGCCGGCGCCAGGACGGCGGCTGTGGCAGCAACTGCAGCGACTGTGTTGCACTTGTTGTTGTCACTGTTCGGGGTTCGAGTTTTAGTTCGCTCCTGCTGCGTTTTGAATTATCGCTAGGCGCCACATTAGGCCACGTTTTTGAGAACCGACAGTCGTCGGGTCATGGCAAATATTTACATAGGCCCCGTTTTTGCCCCGACCACAGTGCACTTGACTTTTACCCAAACTCGAGCTGGCTATTTGCATAGGAAATGTGCTGTATGTTGTATGTTGTATATGTTGCATGTGTGTTCTTCTTGGTAAACTTACCGTCCGCTCTTCGTGATGATCATTTCGGTGCCAATGTGATGGAATTGCTGCCATAATTCGTTATTCTCCAATTTGGCATCCACACCGGGCAACGTTGGCCGACTGGGCAGCATTATTTGTGGCTGATGTTGAGCCATATGCATTGGCAGCATAGCCGGAAAGGGATCTGTTTGTTGGATAGAGGAGGAAGCGCGTGTTATTCACAGAAGTGGCTTTAAAAGTTGTCTGGCTAGTTCATTAGCTTGTGCTGCTGTCGACCAGTTTTGTGTGCCAGCCAAAAGAAGCCATAACAATTAATGTCCGATAAGTTTGCATTAAATTTTATATAAACTGATAATATGTCGGCTATTTAGTTATTTGAAATGTAATACAGGAAATGTAGATACGTTCTGCGTAACTGTATTCAAATCTCAAGCTCAATTTCATTTGGGGTAGCTTCTATGTTAATCTTCGCCTTAATTAGAACACAAATCGTTAAACTAATTTGTGAATAATGCATAACAAGTTTCTCAAAATTATCACAATCAGCTCCAAATTTATTTTAGATTTTCTCAACACTTAATCGATAGATTCGCCGTCGGCATTTTAAAACTGCGATCGTTTCAGAACTCACCTGGTATGCGTTGCATAATCTGTTGACGGTACAGCTCATGGGCCATATGCATTCGCATATCCATACTCCATTCGTTCATGGACATCATAGTTGACAAATATGAATTTATGATACGAAAACAAACACTTAAAATTCTGCACTTAAGTTCACTTGGTTGGTAAGTTTTTTCTATTATTTTTTGTTTAGCCTTGCGCTCTTTGTTCTATCACGCACGACGTTTCGCAACGAACTGATCTTGTGCTGATCGAGTCTATTGCTTAGCTGCTTGAGCGTCGTAGCCGGTTCCAGTTCCAGTGGCTACCTGCCAAACCAGTTCCCGCAGCAAAGCAATCCCATTGGTTGAGCTGAGCAGCCGCCTACGCTGACAACCGCTGCTCGACTATGGCGCACTCGCTCTCTCGCTACGATCGAGCGCCATTTTGTGTGTGTCTGTGAGGGGGAAACGGTAACTGTAGCCAGCAATATGTATATGCATTTGTATTGGTATGTGTGCGCAGCAACGATGTCTTGGGCCGTGCTCAGCAGCGAGTGGCGAAGTTAACGCTTAGCGCTGTTGATTTTCATCAGCCGCAGTGTTTTTCTGCGCCACTGACTTTCGCTCCCTCTGCCGCTGAAGCTGTCCCTCTCTCTCTCTCTCAGTCTCTCTCGCACTGTCAGACGTCAGTCTTCAATGTGGCATGCTTTGTAATTCAGAAGTGAGATTTTCCACAGCGCGCCTGTCTGCAACAGCAAATGCAGAACGTAGAAGGGAGATGTCTGGAAAAATGCCCGTTGCTATTTTCATTGCCGTCTTCCGTTGTTATTTGCTATTTGAGGGTCTTTTAGACTGGGACTGGATATGGAATTGGAATTGGGACTGAGACTGTTACTCAGTACTGGGTTCTTTTGGGCATTCGCAGTGTTTTTTCTTCCTTCTTTTTTTTTTGTGGCATGCAATTAGCTACCATTTTGGCTGTTGTTGGCATTGTCTGGCATTTTGTATTTATGTATTTTATGCAGACAGGTGAAACATAAATTTTGTTGCTTTTGTTAATTGCCCGTTTCGATATTTCGAAATACCCCCAGCCATATACAGCCAGCCATGTGCTGTTTTTCTTCTTTTATTTCAGCCAGATTGCTGGCCATAGTTTTAAGAAAATTGATACATTTTGGGTCTGCTCACGGAGTTCTCTCAACTATTGATTATCGCTTGTCAGCGCTGAAAATTGCTTCTAATCGCTCTTGAAGTGCATTTTCCGTAACCTAATCACAGTGCATAAGTAGCTACAGGAAGTCAGCATGAATGTGAAAAATGTTTGACTCTACCTATATATGACTAATAGCTAAAGGAATTCATACTTTACAGATTAGTTAAGGATTTGGGTTTCAACAGCAGTGAAAGCATTGCAAACACAACAAAGCTTACAATAAATACATTTATGACAATCTCAGCAGATCTTAAGTTGTATTACCTGATCTTTGTGTAAATTTACAGAGCTGTATAAGCTCACGGCACATTCCTAGTTTATCATTCTACTTGGAACAGATTAAGTAATAAGCTGTTATCTAAGAAGTTTTTATATGCATCTTCATGTGATCAAATAATTTCGCTCATGCATAATATTTACCCAAACATATTTTTAATTACTCTTTCAAATGGCCTTTTTTGTAGATAGTTTGCGTACTATTTAAAAAAGACGTATAAATATAAAAATTAAGCATTGGCATTGACATTGAACATCTAGCAATTTTTATTCTGGCCAAAGACTGTTGACAGTCAGTCCCCCAATCTTCTTGGGAATACCCGAAAACAATTAGCACTTCACTTCAAGCGCTGCATCCAAATCGCATTTCGTTGCCAGCAAATAATTTCGGGCTTGACTTCACTGCCAACGGACTAGAAAGAAGGATTCCAACTAAATTTGCACGACGCAATCATTAAATTGGCATTTTGGACACATTAGCACGTTTGCCGGGCGTAGACGGCATATCTCCGGTGAGGAGCAGACAGACCCAGTCCACGTTTCCCAGCCCAGACTGCTGCAGATGTTGTCATGGTGACATGACGACGGGCGCCAGTGCATCGTAAAATATTTATACAAATAGCAGCAAAAAAAATATATATATAAAGAAAACTTTATTTGACAATAGAAACAATGGGAGCACACACAAACACACAAAAGATATGAAATTGTAACGCTTCACGCCTGCCTGATGCAACCGAGGCAAACCGACAAAGGGCCAGACAGTAGTCGCTGGATGCTAGATGCTGGACAGCAACTGGGGCGTTGCAGGCAGTTTTATGGCTGATTCTAGTCACAGATATATGGGCATGCATATATGTGTATAAAGATAGCCCTGGTTAGGTCAGGTGTAATTGCGTCACTAAACGCGGGCAAGGTCACTGTGCGGCACAGCCCACAAAGCCAGCTGAGGATCCGGAGCCGTAGCCGGAGCCGGAGCAAGTTGCCAAGCGGCAACTTGGTGTGAACTGATCCGTAGGCGGGCGTTTTTCATGTTCAAAATCAACTTAAGATGTTTCCCGTACCTGGCCTGAGAGAGGATGAGCAGAGAGAGTCGAACGAGGTTGTCGCCAATTGAAGTAATAATTTTGTATTGTTCTTTGTCGCGCGACGCGACAAGTGCCGAGACAATCTCAAGCAGCGCTTGGCGCCAGCCCATCAGGTCCTGTCGTCGTCGTCGATGTCCTTTGTGTGCTGTTATCTGCCGACTGCGCATCTGCCACGACTAACAGTGCACAGTAGCCAGCCCAAGGCTAAGCGACATGTGTTTGGCTTTGATAAGAGATTTGAAGGCAGCTACCGTTGGCCAACTCGAACAAAAGAAGCTCTGCAGCTGCGGGCAGCAGCATATATTTGTTGAAGACAGATCACGTCAGATCGGTTAGGCTAATTAAAATATACATATAAATATATACTACAAAATGAGCTAACAAAATGAATGGGAAAATGCGTTTATTAAAAGACGATCAAGCATTATGGTTATTGGGCAGACATAATAAATGGGCAGACAGGTTGCATTTTTATGCTGCCCCCTCAAGGCACAACAACTCAATAAATCATGAATAACCCTAATTAACCCATACATTGGGAGAGGTTTACTCTCTAGATTGTCACCTGCATGAGCAACAGCAACAGCAACAACAAGTTACACATAATTTATGAAAAAAAAAGAAAGAAAGATCTACACAAAAATTGGGCATCATAAAATAATATAAATGATATAAGCGACACTGTCTGCGCCTAATAAGCAAACATTGCGAGGCGTTGCCGTGCTCAGGCCCCGAATCCTGAGAAAAATAAAATGCATAAAGATGCAAACTATGCGATAAGTTGCCAGTTGTCCAGAGTCTCGGCGTTTTAGGCGCCTGCAACTAAATGCTAAACGAGTTAACTCGCTGATAGAGATCTTTTGGGTAAATACTAAGCTGAGGCTCAAGGTGCGTTTGGGCATCATTAAGGCAACGTAAAGACAACAAAAAAATACGAAAAAAAAACTCTGTCGAGACAACCACAGCGATGATTTAATTTTCCAACACGCTTTCTACCACGCTTGGCCCAAAGTCGTAGCCAAAAAGAAGATGAAGAAGAATCAGACAGAAGGAAAAAAAAAAAAGCAGCCAGCATGGGTTGAGGCTGAATTTTGAGTGATCGATGGCCTGTCGTTGAGATGATCACTTTCCGTGGCTGCCTAGCGGCTACTAGTTGAGATACTTAATGACGACAGAGATATAGAGACAGAGAGAGAGAGAGAGAGAGGGAAGTCATCTCGGAGACTGGCATAATAATTTGTTAAGATGTTTGTTTCGATCGATGCCTTGTTGTTGATCGCTGCAACATTTTCCCTAAAAACAAATACTACACCAATCTTTGCATATCCACATATTTATATTTCTCACGTTGTGAGGCTCCACTTTAAAATTGTGTACCCCTGTCTGGGTCCACAGCGGACGCCTGTCACAAGATCAGAAATCAATAAGTATCTGTTAGATGCATTATGGCCAGACGCCCATAAGTGCCAGCCAAATACTGATAGAGATAGAGAGGATAGAGAGAGAGAGAGAGCCTCAAGCTACCGATCATCATGCTGATGTCGCCACCAGGGCGCTTGTTATCAGCAGCTCGGCATCTGGACACATTACATTGCTACTTAAGATACATTCGGCCGGCACTCGTATCGATTGCAAGCGTTTCGCCATATCGATTACCCCTCGATGGCGGCGGCATCTCTTTGCATTGGCCTAGCGGCAATTGACCTGAGCACAGAAGTCGATCTATGTAATCGATACGAGATCCCGATCGCAAAAACTTGTAGTTGGTATCTTTGGCTCTTCCTGCTACAACATTTGGCGGCATTCGGAGTCTGTGATCTTTGTGTCACGGCGGAGGGCGGCTGAGAGAAACGCTTGAGATTTTCAGATTGTCATTGATCAACGATTGCCGTTGGCCATTTCGCTGGGCAATCGTTTTGCATGGACCGGCCAACATGGACCTGATATCGAATGTCCGTCGAGTTGTGGCGCTCATTTAGCATGCCACTCGCAGCTTCAACGCTCTAATTAAAATAAATTCTGTCAGACATTCTCCTTTAATTTTTTCGCGCACTTCCATTGGACATAATGTATACAAAAATACAAACAAAAAATGAAATCGCCACACAAACTACCAAAGTCGACGCGAGAAAACATGCAATAAATACGTCAGTCAATACGTCAAATGCTCGAGATGGAAACGGAGACGGTGACGGAGCCAGCCAGTGACGGTGTTCGGTCGCTTGGGATGATTTAAAATGCACATTATTAATTAGTTGTTATAATTGCATTTAAAAATCCATTAATATTTATAGAATTCATAATAAATAATGAGGCGAAGTCGCGTTTTCGCTTCGCTCGCTCTCTGCCTCCTCCTCTGCGCCCAAAAATGGCGACAACGTACGCCTCAAAATGTCAAAACAGTCGACGAGCAGCCACATCCACATGGAGCCGACGACGGCTGGGACCCCAACCAAGTTTGGCAATTTATGCGGTCTGCAATTTGACGAGTTAGGATCGCCCCATGTGTGTGGCATAAGTATTTGATACGCGGCGTCACAATCAAAATTTTGCTAGTTATCTTCGACACATTCTCATAAAG